CCCGAAGACCTGGTCCCTCTCGGTAGGGTAACAAGGGAACGTGTTCAGTGCAGATCAGTGAGTAAGCACAAGCCCGCCTTGTTTCAGTACCTATGCTTAAACTGCCCCCTGGCTGAACACTCTTCTCTTTGGCTTCCTGGGTTACACCCCTTCCTCCTGCTCTTCCGGCCTGCTACTCTGTGCTACGCCTCTGCTTACCTTGCTCCCGAAGACCTGGTCCCTCTCGGTAATTGTAAAATAGCCTATTTCTCCTTTGTCAAAATTGCCATATTTTATTAATAAAACTTGTAAAAATAAAGAGGTAGTAAACAATGAAATGCCAGCATCCAGCTGGTCTCTTAGAGGGACGCGAGTGGTTCCAGCGAGTGTCTGTAAGTGCCCTTTGCACCACACTGAAGCTGCTTCTGTTCCCTTATAATGGGCATAGAGGAGAAGCTCCACAACAAGTACATTTTCTTGTTAATGTTTTGAAACATCAAACTCATTCATTTAACCTTAATTGTTACCATGCCTTTTTAATGTGGTGATGGGTGTACATTCATTTCAAAATGGAAACAAAGTTGTATATTTTGCAACAAGGCAATACTATTCAGACCCAGCTTGGTAAATATTAAGCCCTTCCTGGTGCAGTCCTCAGATTGCCCAATAGCTTATTCTAATGAGCTGTGCAATAACTTGCCAGTTATTTTTTTGGCATGTGGATTGGGGACCAAAGGAAATAAGTAGGTAGATGGATCAACGCAAAATCACAGTGGGGGGGAAAAACAAAACAAAAAAACTCTTATTACTGCCCAGCTTACAGGGGTTTGGTGACATGTCCTTCGATGTGAACAATTGATTTTATCTATATTTGATGTGTTTGCATGGGAGCAGCTTTTGATTTTGATGAATTATGTATACTGCTCCTTCAAAAATAAAATTCCATGCAAATATAGGTCTTTAAGGTTAACTACCACAAGTGCTCATTTTTAGGGCTAAGTTGCTTTATTTCCATACTTGTCTTTTAGTTACATAGTATCCACAGTAAATCTATTCTAGGTGCTAATAATTAGAAGAGCAGAATTAGAACTTTTTTTTTTTTTTTAAATGCTGCCAACACCAGGAAGGATATCTTGCCTTGAATGGTAAAGAATATAACTTTCTGGATACCGGAAGAAACTGCAGGCCATTTGTAGTTGTTCAGCTGAAAAGAAATAGAGACAATATGCAAAAAGAGAAGGTCACTCAAACAAAAAGTGTGCCTAAGCTTGCTTTACCCAGCATCCTGTTGTGTTAAGAGTAACTGAAATGTTTCCTTTTCTCTGTGCTTCCAGGGCTATCGTGGCATTAGTGTACAATGTATTGAAGGCGTTTATGGAAATGAACAGTACCATGTTTGACGAGCTAACAGCCACATACAAGTCAGATCGTCAGCGGTAACTTTTAAAAGCTTTTTTTAATCAGCTGTGCATTAAGCTATCTATTTTCTTCCTTTGCTGTTTGCTGAAATTGCCTAATTGTGCCCCCAAATCATTAGCACAATTTTATTTATTTGTATATTCATTCCAGCATGCTCATTAGCTGTGTCTTATAAGTTTGCTACTGGATAATGAAGCTTGTGACAGTGTCATTTTGATAAAGCCTGCCTTCCTCCTTCTCTTCAGTAGTGTATCAGTTCTGCCTTAAGTGCTTCAGTTCTGTGTTAAGAGCCTGAAACCTGTCTGGCATTTCAGGCCCGCTTAGAAGAACCATCAGGTGGTTTGCTGCCTGGATTCACCCCATTCTGAACTTAATCTGACCTAAAATTGGGTTGATCCTGTACTTTATTTTACTTTAGCAACATGAGGGATGAGGCATCATTTGTCTGGTTTTGTGACTCAGAACTTATTTTCTGCTCCAGAGCTCAACAAATTCATTACAATTCAGAGAGCAACAAGAGGAACACAGAGAGAAACAGTTAGCCGTTCCAGAAGCTGGGAAATGTTTAAGAGACCACAGCGGGGCAAGTCCCAATGGAACTTTTTACAGTGGATGCTTGTGGCTTAATAAAGCCTTTCTTGATGTCATTCACTTGATTCTTTAATTTTGCCCTTTCTTGTCCACTATGTCCATCTTTTCGGAAGATGTACTTATATTGGTTAAGGAAAGTCTAGAGAGTTCTTAATAGTTGCACCTCTAGTTAGACTTAGACCACCTAGAAGCAGATGTCAGGTTTTGTGTATCATAAAGTTTTGCACCTTTAAGGGCTTCCAGAGGTTTGTGTGAGTGTTCATGCCTATGACTTTGCTGAATCTTCTCAGCAGAGCTCCCTGTAGTTCCCTTGCTTCTTGGCTTGACCTGAGATGGAATGTGCTACTTGAATCTTACTGATTAAAAAGAGCAGTGAGGAGAGAGATGTGTTGACAGAGGATAAAGGACTGTTTCAGTGATACCCCCACCCCCACCCCAAGATACAGGAATGTAGTTTATTGAAAGACAGTTTAATTAGGAAATAAGCAAGTTTTGAGGAGAGACAGAAGAGGTTGAAATCTTTTACCACAGTGTTTGGGATAAATACCAGTTTTAGGGTATGTGGAGCTCTGATGGCCCAATGGTTAAGCACTCAGCTGCTAACTGAGAGGTCAGTGATTAAAACCCACCAGCCACTCCATGGGAGAAAGATATGACAGTCTTCTCTTTAAAGATTTACACCCTTGGAAAACCCATGGAGCAGTTCTCTGTCTTATAGGGTTGCTATGAGTTGGAATTGAATCAATAACAGCAGTGTTGTTTTTTTTGTTGATTTGATTGATTGTTTTCTTTATGGTGCCATATTTGGAATTTAAACAACTTTTAACTTGATATATTTACAGTTGTTTCAAATCATTAACTTTCTAATAGTACTCCTTGCCCAAACTTAAAATCTTTAAAAAATACTGTTTTAGAAATGGGGAGAAGGGCACATTTTTATAAGTGATGACCACTAAAGTCTGTTCTGCATAATGGCCTCCCTTTTATAGCAACGAAAGTCCATTCTTCTTCTTCTAGTTGAAAAAGGGTTAAATCTATAAAATGCCATCAAGAATTTTGAAGACCTAATTTGTAGTCCACTTGATTGGTTCAGATTTATTGAACTTCAGTAATGCATTAGGATAAAACAGGATCATTTAACATCTAATTTAAGTAAACCAAACCCTTAAAAAAAATATAAAAATTAATCAGGAGAAAAATATTAGTATGTCTTAGGTCAGGAGTAGACAGTACGCTGTCATTAAAGTGATTTGTAGTGCCTGGGCTTTCTTAATGAAACAAGGATTTAAAAATTTTTTAAGATGGGTAATATTTTGTCAAAATGAGCAGTAGAAGATTCTCCTAGATTCAAGAGAAGCACTAGTTTCTCCACAGGCAACAATTATAGGGAATAATGAAATTTATGTAGTATTATCACAGGGAATCTGAGTGGAGAATTTTACTTCTCAATGGCAGGAAGTTAATAGTTTCAGTTAAGATCAAATAACTTTTTAGGTATTACCAACCTGGAAATGGTGGGTGGAATGAGTATCTAACACTGTTAGATGCATCTAGCAACATCAGTGCTATATAAAATTGTAATTAGAAGAGAATTTGACAACATGTCTAGCATGGCAGTGTGATTAAGTTTTGAAATTACCACCTACAGAGAGGGGAAAGGTAGGAAGGAATGGAGGTGACAATGACTATATCAGAAATATTTAAGGGGAGTGCATGGAGGGATGAACACAGGGAAGAGGTTAACTATCGGGAGGAAGTGGCAGGGGAACTGTGCATTGGGGTAAATTGTAGTCAGTGTCTTGAGACAAAGTGTATGTGAACTGCTGTATGGAAAGTGAATTTGCTTTGTAAACTTTCACCCAAATCACAATAAAATAAAATTTAGAAGTTTTGAACATAAAGTTATCAGTATGAAAGATGTATGTAACTCAGCATAAAGTTAATCTGGAAGAAAAGCCCTCAGGACAAACTGCACTGAATACCATAAAACTCTATCAAGAACATGAACGAAATGTTTCATAAGGTGATGAGTCTCTTAATGATGTCAACACTTAATTTAAACTGCACCTTGGGGCAATATGAACCTAATGCATATTTGAGCAATTTTCCAGTTAAAAAAAGTTCCCAATCCCTTACTTAACACTCCTTTCTCTTCTGACATAAGGATTATATGCACTGAAATTCAGCAGAATCTGTAGAATTGATTTATATGTACTTAAGTCAGTGTTTTGTGATAAGATTTATTTAGACCTAGTATTATCTCCAAAACTGTACTGAGAAAGCAGAAGTATTATTTTGCCAAATACCTTGCTTTACAGTTACAAAGCTAGAATCCATCCTGATTGGAGGATTGTGTAATCTTGGCTCTTAATGCCCTGAAAATGGGATTTTACAGGATCAAAATTAGCCAGTAGGTAACTGATAGAAAAACTGTTATTTCCACTGAAATTCATACTGTGCATATTGTATTTGAGGTAGCTGTAACTAATCATAGTAAACAAGGCCTAAATGATCAAAATACTAACTATGAAATAATCATATTAATTACCATACTATATAATTGAACATTCCCTCAAAACTTTAGTGGAAAAAGAATTTAAAATTATTTGAGTGTTTCTAGAAAGTTGTTTTGGGGAAGGGAGATGAAGATTATTATCTGTTGCTATAGATGGTTAAAATAACTTTAAAAAATTTGATGATGACAGAGAATATGCAGCATTGGAATTCAGCTGAAAAGAATTTATATACAGATTCCCTGGGTAAATATTGTACCCTGTGACTGACGTTAAATCCTTACAAGGTGAGGTACCCCCGGCCCACATCCATGTCTGGGGTGGCAGAGCCTCTGCTTCAGGAGTTCCCTGTGCTCGTGAATTCACTAATGCCGTATGGGTCTGCTTTTTACTCACTCACCGTGAGAAAACTCAGGGCGAAATAGTGAATTCCTGTAATAAAAGTGAATTTATTCGGTTGACATTGTAGTCATATATTCCTGGGTTATGTACTACTGTTTGCTTGGTAGTAAAACATCCTTTCTTTCTTAAAAATAAGATAATTTTAAAATGAAATTTGTTGACTCTAATTTGGATATCCTTTTCTTTTCTTTTTTCTTTTTTTGCTTAATTTTACGAAATAATGAAATCAAGTCTAGAACTTACTTTGTCCATTTGCCAGAATGAGGAGTTAGTGCATTAAAAATTTAATGTATTAACAAAGTTCTATGCAGATCATTAACACTGAAATCCCAAAGGACAGTTTGTTTATTTTAGTTGTGTATACTGGTACAAAATAAGTTAATAATTTGAGTTTTGTGGTTAATTAAGACTTATAATTGCAAGATTTTGCTATGGAGTTTCCGTCTACGTTGGTATGTGAAAAAGGAGAGAGATATTTTCTTGACATACAGCATTTTCTGAATTAATATCATCTCCAGCATCCTGTTTGAGAAACTATATTTGGAGATAATGGGAAAATTAGATTCATAGCAACTCTGTCAGGCATAATAGAACTGCCCATAGGGCTTCCAAGGCTGCAGAGTTTCAAAGCACACTGCCACATCTTTCTCCTGCGGGAGCAACTGGTGGGTTTGAACCACTCACCTTTTGATTAGCAGCCTAATGCTTAACCACTGCACCACTAGGCTCCTAGATTCTAACTAGGAGCCAAATATATAAGTCACTATGTACCTACCCTTGGTTTCAGGATAACTGATATATATGAATAATTCCCACTTTTTCCTCAGGAAATTTGAAGTTAATTTTCTATATTAAGCTACGAAAAAAGGAATGTTAATGTGAAATCTTAAAATATTCTTGTCATCTCCTACTCTGTTTGCTAATACTACTTTTATGTCTATTACAAGTGTCTGAAATAAAGAGCGCAAGAGAAGAGAAAACACCCACTAGCTTAGTGTAAAACTTTGCAAAGAATTTTAAAACATACAGGGGGAAAAAGTGTTTTAAAGAGACAGTTGTTATTGGATAACCTCTTTAAACCTTCTTGGTTGTTTACATTGTTTTATTTTCTTCTCCAGTGAGAAAAAGAAAGAAAAGGAGCGTGAAGAACTGTGGAAAAAATTGGAGGATCTGGAGTTAAAGAGAGGTCTTAGACGGGATGGGATAATTCCAACTTAACAAAAATAATGACAACGTTACTAACCTGTGGAGTCACACATTTATGTAGTAGAAGATGGAGCAACAGTTTTCTGTATTGTGCAACTTTACAGTAGATTTCACATTTGTTTCATTATTACAACAGCACTGTATATACCTACCTGTCTCTAAGTAAAGGAAAAACAAAATAAGGACTTCAGTCCAAAGTGTGGACAATAGATGGACTTCTCAGAACTTTGCAAATGTAATCATTGTTCTAACCCTTTTAAGGAAATAGAAAAAACAAAGCAGTCTTCAGAGATCTGTTGATGAAATTGCTGTTAAAATTCCATTGTTGGGAGTTCCTTATTTATCCTTAGCAGAGAGTATGATACAATTTCAAATGTGAACAATCTTAAATTTAGCTTGTCTTTCTGCTAAGCTGTTAAATGTATTTATAGTAAATGAAAGAAACAAAGACTGTCATTTCCTTATAAGTTTGTATAACATACTCCTCTGGATAACTTGACTGTAATTTGACATCTTTTCCTTTTGCACATCTTCATGAGTTGAATGTCCACATGGAACAGGGCCATGAATTGTAAAGGTCCCTGATAAAAGTTTTGTTTACTGGGGTGAACATCTTTCCAGTAACCAGGTAGTCCTGGTACTCCTTTAGTTTTAAAATTAGGAGTAAAAGAGAAGAGGTGATAAACATAGTAGGGAAGGGAATTTGGGATTCATTGTATATCAGTTTATGGTGAATCTGAATCAATGTCTTGAATCCTTTCAAACAGGCCTGGGACATCACAGGCTTCAGTACCTGACCAGTATTAGTTGCTTACATCATCGAACATACGTACAAGAGATGTTTTAGACATGTCAGTAAAACATCCTTTTGGACCGTTTTGTAATAAGAAACACAAACACTAAACAGTACAACCATGAAATTGATCACCAGGGATTGTGAATCTAATTGGGAAATTGTTGAGCAAACAGCTTGGACTGTTTGGAGTTGTTGCCTTACTTTTTAATATGTATTTATAAGGTATTCCAGCAAAAGAGGATAAAGCCTCTGGAAGGGAAAAAACACACAAAAATATGTTACAGTGTTTTTTGTAGATTCTTGCTCTATATCTCATCACAGCGCCAGCCCTGTTTTTAGCCAGAAAGGATTCAGGATACACATTATTATGCATTCTGAATTGGATGCGTATTCCTAACTACTGTATTTGTTACCAAAAGTGGTTCTACAAATGCTACTGAAAAAATCTGGAAATTCCTAATGTCCTAAGTATTAATAATAAAGTTTAAAAATGCTTTTATATCAAAGGTGCATTCTGACCAAATTGTTTAAGAAAAAAACAAAAACCCTAGGGCTGTATTATAGGTATACCTTATTGGCTCTCTGCTTTGTATTTACAAGAGGAATCTTACAACTTGGGTGGATAATACGCCGATAAAGCTTGTGTACAGCATGTACTTATCTAATGCAGTTGCATTATTATGTACTGAAAGATACGTGTTTGGGGATAGATTTCCAGGATACTTTTGCTTGTTACGGACACAGCAGCAGTGAGTTGATAATCCTAAGCCATCACGTCCAGCAGTATTCATGGTATAGAGCTGATTCTGTGTTCATGTGTTGAATTGTGATAGTAGCAGACATGAACATATGAACTGCTGTTGCTCTTAATAGAAGTACAGTATAAATATGGGCTTGTATATTTTCTTCCATTTAAATAGAAAGTAGAATATGCAGTTTTATTATTTCCAAGAAAAAATGGGGGAAAAAGAAAGCCCCTAACCTTTCTTCCCTATTAAGGATTATCAGGTCACAGATTGTGTATAAAAGTCAGCTAATTATGGATATTGTCATCTCAGTAACTTTGTATAAATGAAACAGAACTTGGCATTGTTAATTCTGGAAAAGAAACAGCAGTAAAAGAGTCATATGCAACACCATACACAACATTGTTTAATGGAATTAATAGTTTTTTTAAAAAAAAAAAAGAAAAGAAAACGAAGATTCAGTGTAAAATTGGCACAGGCTGCCAAAGGTGATACAACCTTAAAAGTGCTGGAGCAAGTTCGAGTACTAAAGATAAAAAATAAATTTGTAATAAATCATCTTCTTTAGCCCTTTTGATTTTAGCCCTTTGGTTTCAAATGTGGATCCCATTTATTTTTGATGGTAAACTTTTGTTTCCTGTGGATTCATCTTTTTAAAATAGAGGACATTACAGTAATAGGTTTATGAAGTATCTGTGCCCAGTGGCATGAAGTGCAGTCATTTGAAATGAGAAAGGCCAGGATACTTTCTTTGTCTGTTATCCTGTTCTCAGTTAAGGTGAGAACTACACAGAAATCTTTTGTGTCAATTTTATATGTTGTATCATTCCAAACTGAGAAGAAGAAAGCCAAATTTTAGACATATTCAAAGAAGCAAGGTTAAGTCTATGTCTAAAATTCACAGGGCAACTTCTGAGAAGAAATGCTGTCTCATCTTTTTAAACTGAAAGTGACAATGTGGCATTTGTCATGTTGTGTCCAGTGATGCAGAGTAACTGAGGTAATCTGACTGTTGCACTATGTGACATATTTAAGGACATACTTGCTGCATTGGCAGCAGCCCTCTCTCCTCCCTTCCCACAATTCTGCTGTTGCTGCAACTCGAGTTAACTGTTACAAATGCATCTCTGTGTTATATTTTGTTTGCTTCATAATCCCCAGAACAATATATAAATATATTTTTTAAATAGCAAATATTGTAGTTAGTGAGTGGTGATCACTCAAACCTTATCCCTACCATATTGGTTTTAGGGACGGGATTAAGAGTGTTTTGGGAAGAAAAGAAAAAAAAAAACCAAACAAACAACCTTGTGGTTTAGAATGATGCTGAGGCCTTAGGCTGTGGGCCTAGAACAACTATGTGAGTGAATTGACCCATCTCATACTTTGAATCAAGCATGCATTCCTTTTCTCATCATGTAAGTGTCCCTGGTTGTTTTCCCTCAGTGTTTAGCTATTGTCTTTCCTATTTTATTATATTTTGCTCTTGCCCACATCTGACTTTTTTATAAAATAAAATTATTAAAAATTAAAAAAAAAAAAATACCCTTGATGCCGCTGGGTCCTCACCAGCAGGGTCCGCACACCCTCATTTTGGGCTTGCTCGCCTGAATGGAAGGGTTTAACTTATTTTGTGTCTCCTTCTACGCGTGGGACAGTGCAGAATGCAGAGCCGGGATCTGCTTATTGTTGCACCTGCTGTACTTAAAAGTATGGCCCTAGGCTCAGTCACACTATGGAAAGGAAAAAAAAAAAAAGTATATTTAGAGCTTTAAAAGCTTTTTTATTTTTCTGTGGGGGTTTAGGGGGTGGGGAAGGGAAAGTGTAAGGATGTTACTGGCATTTTTAAGTGTTTAGAGTCCCTGGCCCCCCCCCCCCTTTTTCTGTTTTGTATTTTCTCTTTAACTGAATGCGCTGTCCTGACCCAGGAAATGAAATGATTGTCTCTTGATGCTGTTACCAATATTACACAAAGTGACAGTCACCTATAGCAAAAGGTAGCACCAGATAGGACCAGTGATGTTTTATTTGCACATCTTTTTTTTTTGTTTGGTATTTTGGCTCAACTGCTTCTCTGAGTAGAGTGAAGGAATGAGCCACAAAGGATTTTTCCTAGTAGGTACATTGGCAGTGCATTCTGTGTTCCTGGATTTGGGGAACCTGAAAGAAGGACTGTGCCTCTTGAGAAAAGGTTGAGTAGATCTGACCCAGCAGGGGTTGATTGGTGCCGCTGCTTGTGCACAGTGGAGCAGTCGCATCTTTCTTGGAAATAACATCCCATGTTCTGATGTCTATGAATACAGGTTTCCTTTTCTTCCCTTTCTCTCCTTTTTTTGCAGTCACTCGTTATACATAAGTTCAAATCCAGACCCCATGTGTCAGTGGGGAACTTTCAAATATAAATATTACTGATCCATCTTCTGGTTGGTGTCTGATTTTTGACTGGCGTATAAAGAGAAGGACACGTCTATTGCTTTTGGTTTGAGGATTTCGCTCTAGCTTCCTAAGTCTTTTGGTATTTTAGTATTTCATTGTTTTAGCAGGAGAGGGCAGCAAAAGTTCATTTTCTCCTTTACAAATGCTGTGATCCATGATTGGTTTTAAATTTAGGTGTGTGTGTGTATGTGTGTTTTTGTTTTTTTAAACAGCATCTGTTTGTTGGTGGAGGTAAAAATGAAACATTTTGATATGAAAAGTTGCATATGAAAATTATAGACTGGCTAAACCAGACAGTGAATGAAGACATCTGATCCACATCAAGGTTAAAATTCCTCAAAACAATCTCCCAGCTCTGGCTAAAATATGCTATTTCCTTTTTAACCACAACAAAATGCAAGTTGAGTCTTAATCATTTAGAGTTTAAAATGTCTTTCTTTGGAAATGATTTACTTTCTTCAAAGTGGTAACAGAAACAAAAAAATGCAGGTGCTCCCAAAGAGAAATGTATCCTTCCTCCCTCACAGACGTGTGAGGTTCTGTACTGTGGGTGCATCATAATAAAGAAGCAGTGAAGAGATTATCAGGTGCCTGGCTGTTTCTGTTTGTTTTGTTTCTGAACTCAGTGGTCTTTTTGATCCATACAAATGATGGAGTTGTTTAACTTCACTTTGAGACAATGGGGTTGGTATATTCTACCTTTCATTTTAAGAAAATCAGCTTATAATTAGGGATATGTAATGTTGGGAATCATTCTGGTATCTCTTACTGCATAACAAGATTCCCAAAAATTTATTGGCTTAATCATGTACTTTGTTCACCAGTCCTCACTTTGGTAGGACTTGGTAAGACAGCTTGTCTCTGCTCCTCCGACATCAGCTGGGGTGTTTCAGAGGGGAGAGGAAGATTCACTTCCAACATGGCTGTCAAGTTGATGCTGCCTGTTGGCTGGCAGTTCAGCTAGGGCCTTGGGTCCTGTTGACCATGGCCTCTTCACTGGGCTTCTCTGGTTTTCTTTCAGCCTGGCAGATGTGTTCTAAGAATGATTATTTCAAGAGACAGGAAGTGGAAACAACTAGTTGTGTGAGACCTGGGCCCAGAAGCTGGCACAGCATCCTTCATATTCTGTTGGTCAGTTGGAGAATCTGCTCATATTCAAGTGGAGGGGACATCACTTCCCCACTTGATGGGAAGAGTGTTAAGTAATTTGCTGTCATCTTAATCATGGGATAAAAGAGAAAAAAAAAAACACACCAAAAAACCCACTGCTATCAAATTGATTCCAACTCATAGAGATCATGGGATAGTTTGTTTTAAAACATTGGATTTAGGTGTTCTCTCTCTTGACCAATTGAATCACATCAGATTTGGATCCCTGTAGAGTTAACTAGTTAATGTTTCATATTCAGTTGAAATCTAGATTGAGAGGGAAAGGCAACAGTTGTAAATTAAGCAGTTTTG